TATAATTAAGGGCTAAATAGATGATTGGTGTGGTTGTGAAACTGATACCACACCAGGACATGTAGCTGAGTGTGGGCAACTGACACCACTTCCAGGATTCGATTCAACTAAATACCCTAAAACACATATGCATGTGTCACTCCTACTTCCCCACAATCCTACTTATTCTTCTTCCTCTCTCTCTTCTCCCTCTCTTCCTTCCCTCCTCTTCTTTCCTCCCATCTCTTCTACTGTTTTGTGCCCCCAAAATAATATTTAATTGCCTTGCTACATATCTTTCTTTGGATCCATCAAACAGGTCCAAAGAAACCTGTCCAAAATCAGAGACATCAGTTTTCCTCCTTCAAACAATTCCTCTTCTGACTTCAATCCACCTTTTCAAAGGTAACTGGAAGGTCAGGGATAGGACTGCAAGGTGCCCACTCCCGGTTAACGAGGTACTCATTCTCAGGTGCTGAACTTTGCACTTGTACAAGTCTGACAGTGTCTTTAAATTTTGTGTCCTGGGCATTCTTCTTGCCTTACCTTAGAGTTACCAACCTACTTCAACCAGATTCCAGAGCCCCAGGCTGTCTTCAATTTTTTCTTCCTTTGCTCACTTTGGTCAATCCTTTCTGAAAACCTGAAGATTTGACCTCTATAATGCCCTCACGTAACTTCCCACTGTCTTATTCTATCACAGCTCTAATTGTGGCTTCATTATGACTTACCAGGATGACTGAGACGGCCCAGTCCAACCTGCCTCCTTCCTACCTCTACCTACAACCTCACCTTAGCACTCTCCACAGCAGCCTTAACCTGTCTGTCTGGTCTAAAAGCCCACAGGAATGCACTCTGTGATCAGAACACATCTGAAACTTCGAACACCTTGAAGTGTTTCCAAGCTTGCAATCCTAGATCTCCTTTCCGTGCCTAACTCAAATGAGAACTACTCTCTCAAAGCCCTTGCCAGAGTCCCTGAGTCAAATGTTTTCTCACCAAACACCTCCCTGTAGAGACCCAGCTCTATCTAGATGGGCCAGCCTGTAGTGTGTCCTGCAGAGTTGACCATAGTGCTTTAAACTCACAAACATTCTAAAATAAGAAGGCAGGAGGAAATCTGATCATCCTATTTACTGTGAAAAGTTCCAGCAAAAGCCAATGCCACAACAGAATTCCACAGAAACCTCTCCGATCATGCAGTTTTCACTGATCAGTCTGGCTAATTTATAGCTAGCATAAAACTTCAAATGTTGACTGCCTTTTTTTGGGGAGGCAGTGGTACTGGGAGTCGAACTCAGGGCCTTATACTTGCTTGGAAGGCACTCTTCTACTTGAGTCACTGCCAACCCTCGTTTGCTGGCTATTTTGAGCTAGGACCTAGCTTTATGACCAGCACCATGACCCTTCTGTTTGTGCCTCGCTGCATAGCTGGGATGACAGGTGGCTGAGATGGGGTTTCTTGAACTTTGCCATGGCTGGCTTCAAATTGCAACCTTCCACCATCTCCCTTAAGTATCGAGGATTACAGGATACTGGTAATTGCCTGGCCAATTGCATTTTAAAGTTTACCTTAACATATCGAGTCCTCTGCCCTATATCTATTGATTTTTACATCATTCATTAGCTACCCCTCATTAGCCCAGGACAGTAACATGTATCTCTGGGGTGAGTGTGAGGGTCTGAAGGACGTGTAACAGTGATCTATCACAAAGGAAAAGTATTTAAGCTGAGAATTTTTATTCAGAAGTGTTTGCAAATTTTGCCTTTATTCCACAGAAGAACTGCATGAGTTTGAATAAAAATAATGGGCCCTGTCTCCTAAAATCTGAGAAAGGATACATTTCAGGGTGATGTGCCATACTTTTCTCCAATGAATTTCCTTACTGTCTAGCTGACATCTTTTCCATTTTCAAAAGTAGAATGTAAAATATCCAAAACAATGTTTCTGTTTCACCTACCTCTTCTCATTGCTGCTTCAATTTCTTACTTATGGCTTCAAAACTGACTACATGTCCTCCAAATGGTCAGCTAACTCTGTGCTTGCTATGGGTAGAAAAGGGAGACCACTTCTCTTCTCACATCTGAGGCTCTTCCAAGGCTCCAGGAAGACTTGCTGGGACTAGGCAGCACAACACATATACTTGCTCTTGAGGGGACTGACGAGGTTCTCCTTTAGAAACCTCCCACATCAACTCAGGCTGATGTGAATGTGTGATTTACTAGCATCAAGATAGCTGGTGGAACATTCAAAGCCAAGAGTAATGCTTGCTTAAATGCTCATAGAAATTTCATGTACTTTATTTCATACCTATAAATCTGGAAGGCAGGTCTGAGTCAACTCACATTTTAATTTCCTTTGTGTTGATACCAGGCCCTATAGATGGCAGATGCTTACATATTCATTGAATATGTGAATTTAAACATCATTTTAGCAATCTTTATATCCTTTCAATATAGGTTCTCCACAAAATTTCACAAGTAAAGCATTCAGTTTACCAAGTGATAAGTTATTTGATATATTTCTCTATAATAGAACCTGATAAGAATGAAGGCTCCTTCTTCTACATGTGCTCACCTTGCCATCTGGTTTGTCAGATATTGCAGCTACACCAGCAATGACACTTTCTCCACTGGCAGAAGTAGTGTCTTGTGATTTAGTCTGAGAGTGGGATAAAGATTGACAGAACTAAGTATCTTTGACCACTACCAAGATCATGGGTTTCAAAACGTAGCTTCCATCTGCCAGTTTGTCCACATGGACATCATGGCACAGGAAGGTTTATTAGCTTTACTGCACATGCTGCAATGCTGGTATGGTATAAACCTGGACTTAATAGCCTACAGAGTCGTTCAGTCACACAAATAGGCAGACAGCATCACACTTGGTTTACGTGCTTCAGTGCACTGTTGGTAAACTGGAAGCCATTGCAACCAGGGTGTCTATGGCTCTAGTCACTGTTGCCCTATGAGCCCCATTTTTGCAGATAGTCTTGATTTTTTTTTTTTTTTTTGCCAGCGGATTTGTTTTTTTTCATTTTTCTTTTATTATTATATGTGATACAAGCTTGGTGTTTTTCTCCCCCCTCCCCCACTCCCTCCCGTCTCCCACTCCCTCAATACCAGCAGAAACTATTTTGCCTCTATCTTCTAATTTTGTTGTAGAGAGTATAAGCCATAATAGGAAGGAACAAGGGTTTTGCTGGTTGAAGATAAGGATAGCTATACAGGGCATTGACTCACATTGATTTCCTGTCGTGTGTTACCTTCTAGGTTAATCTTTTTGATCTAACCTTTCTCTAAGTTCCTGGTCCCTTTTCCTATTGGCCTCAGTTGCTTTTAAGGTATCTGCTTTAGTTTCTCTGCATTAAGGGCAACAAATGCTAGCTATTTTTTAGGTGTCTTACCTATCCTCACCCCTCCCTTGTGTGCTCTCTCGCTTTATCATGTGCTCATAGTCAATCCCTTGTTGTGTTTTCCCTTGATCTAATGTCCCATATGAGGGAGAACATACGATTTTTGGTCTTTTGGGCCAGGCTAACCTGACATCAGAATGATGTTCTCCAATTCCATCCATTTACCAGCGAATTGAATAACATTTCGTTCTTCTTCATGGCTGCATAAATCCACTCTGTGTATAGATTACCACATTTCTTAATCCATTCGTCATGGCTGGGGGCTCTTGGCTGTTTCCATAACTTGGCTATTGTGAATAGTGCCGCAATAAAAACATGGATGTTTGCAGGTGCCTCTGGAGTAACAGTCTTTTGGGTATATCCCAAGAGTGGTATTTGCTGGATCAAATGGTAGATCATGTCCAGCTTTTTAATAGCCTCCAAATTTTTTTCCAGAGTGGTTGTACTAGTTACATTCCAACCAGCAGTGTAAGAGGGTTCTTTTTCCCCCGCATCCTCGCCAACACCTGTTGTTGGTGGTGTTGCTGATGATGGCTATTCTAACAGGGGTGAGTGGAATCTAGTGTGGTTTTAATTTGCATTTCCTTTATTGCTAGAGATGGTGAGCATTTTTTCATGTGTTTTTGGCCATTTGAATTTCTCTTTTGAGAAAGTTCTGTTTAGTTCACTGCCCATTTCTTTATGGTCATTAGTTTTGGGAGAATTTAGTTTTTTAAGTTTCCCTGTATATTTGGTTATCAAGTCCTTGTCTGATGTATTAATTGGCAATTATTTTTCTCCCACTCTGTGGGTGTTCTTTTCAGTTTAGAGGGACCATTTCTATTTGGTATGAACAGAAGCTTTTAGTTTATGAGGTCCCATTTATCTATTGCTATCTCTTAGTTGCTGTTGCTGCTCCGGGTTTACATGAGGAAAGTTCCTTACCCTATAACCTACTAACTTCCAGAGTATTTCCTTACTCCTTTCTTGTATCAACTTTAAGAGTTTGGGTCTGATATTAAGATCCTGATCCATTTGAGTTAATCGTTGGCTGATAGGGTCAGATATACAGGGATCTAGTTTCGTTTTTTGCAGACTGCTAACCAGTTTTTCCCCAGCAGTTTTTGTTGAAGAGGCTGCTATCTCCATCTGTATATTTTTAGCTCCTTTGGTCAAAGATAAGTTGCCTTATAGTTGTGTGGCTTCATATCTGGATCCTCTATTCTGTTTCACGGTTCTTTCATGTCTGTTTTTGTGCCAGTACCATGCTGTTTTTATTATTATTTGCTTCTGGATAATTATAGTTTGAAGTCAGGTATTGTGATAAGCTCCTGATTGTTCTTTTGACTGAGTTTTGCCTTGGTATTCGTGGCCTCTTTGTGTTCCAGTATATATTTGAACAGTAGATTTTTTCAATCTCTTGATGAATGATCATTGGAATTTTGATGGAATCTGCATTAAACATGTAGATTACTTTTGGGAGTATAGACATTTTTACTATGTTGATTTCTACCATCCATGAGCATGGGAGGATCCTCTTCCACTTTCTATAGTCTTCCTCAATCTCCTTTCTTCAGAAGTGTATTAGTTTTCCTTGTAGAGGTCTTTCACATCTTTTCGTTAGGTTTACACCTAGGGTTTGCATTTTTTTGAGCTATTGGTAAATGGAATTGTTTTCCCATACATTCTTTTCCGTCTTTGCTCATTGTATGTATAAAATGCTAATGATTTTCTATGTTGATTTCTATATCCTCTACCTTGCTATAGCTTATTGATTGATGTCTAGAGCTTCTGAGGTAGAGTTTTGGTCTTTAAGGCTATAGGATCATGTCGTCTGCAAATAGGATATTTGAA